CCAACCAAAAACTACTGCGTAGAATTAATTGGAATTTTTCACACACAAGCCTTGCTATATGAGCTCTCAAAGCATATAAAAATTATACGGCTTAAATGTGAAGTTGGGTGCAAAAGAATACAATTAAAACCTCTGTCGGGAAAAAACGAAATGACTTTCCGAACAATCCGATACATTAAAAATAGATGCCACCTTCATCGCCTTAATAAGATCTTATAATCTTAATAATCTGAAAATTTCGTAGACATTCATCTTCACACCTTCCTATCTTGAGTCAACTGTTTCATTTCCAGAAAAGTATATACCCCTCTTTACTCGTCATTCCGCTTCTAATACGTCTATAGCTAATTCTATTTCTTAGAGGACTTCTTACCATCCTACTTTCTTTTCTTTATTGATGAGATCCATATCAGCACCTTCTGTTTTCCTACTTTTAATTTCTAACCATTATTATTCACGATTTTTCTGTTATTCGACTATAATAGACAATTTTATCGAATTGTTAACATTTGATGATGATTGAACATCCCGTAAATTATAACAGTTTTATTGAAAATGTCTAGTTTTGAATTCAGAGGCAAATTTATTTCAAGTTCCGCCTTTAGTTTACCTGCTACCGCAAATGTAATTCAGAAAAGTTTATCTTTATAGTTACGCTGGTCCAGGAGATGTTCGAATTACGGACGCGTTTTCTAACGGCTTCGAGAAATACATTACTACAAATCGAAAATACATATACGCTTACATAGACGGAAGAGGCAGTGGCAGAAGAGAAGATAGTTTACGATTCCAAATATACAGGCGAATGGGCACAGTTGAAATAGAGGATCAAGTTGCGGTTACAAAGTAAGAGATAGTGTTCTGTAGTTTTCTTAGTGTAAGGTTTCCGGCTTTTTGTAATCTTATTGATACAGATAAAATAATAAAATCGTTAATGCTATCATCGACATGTTCGTTAAATCTGACGAACCTTCTTTTGGAAATTATTAAACAGAGAAATCATCAAGGACATTTCAAATACATCTTGGTACTGTCCTGATTCGCGTTTAAAGCATCTTCCACCGGTGACGACCTTTCGATCCGAATCAGGACAGTACTAACTCAACAACAGACCCAGAAAGTCTTTGCTAATGTGTCAAACAAATATGTGTATTGCATTTGCCAAATAGGCTACTAATTAAGACTATTTGTTGGAGATACATATCTCCGATTGTTTCTCAATCTAACTCCAGAATTTTACAGATATTTAAGGGATACCTATTCATGGATAGATCCTGAAAGAATTTGCATTTGGGGATGGAGTTACGGCGGTTTTGCAACGGCTTGGGCTTTAGTTTATGACAACGAGAAGATTTTTAATTGCTTTTTATCTGTTGCTCCAGTTACAAATTTTGTCTACTATGGTAAGCCTAAGTGTTTGATAACACATACTAATTAAAGAAATTTAAAAAGCAATTTATTTTAATTCTTTTGGAAGAATTAAAAGTTGATTTAGGTTTACGCGGCTGTAATCGCCTGTAGAAACTAGATTTCCGGATTCTAATCGTGCCTTATTGATGAAATCCTCATGAAGGATCATGGTGGCGTCAAAAGTGTTTCGTATTCATCTCCAATAATAAGGAACATCTTCAAGAACTTCACTGCATCGACAACGTGAACTTCCTGAAGATGTCCCTTGTTATAGGAGACGAAACATTCAACAGTTTTGACGCCACCATGATCTGTCATGGGAATTTCGTCAATAAGACACGGTTAGAATCCGAGACTATAGCTTTTTCACATCAATTATTTATTACTGCGAGCTTTTGATACATTACATTTGATTGTTGGATTGCTTGCTATAATCGAGCATAATTATTTTAATATTAATTTATGTTAATTGCTTTGAATTACTCTAAAGCTAAAATAGAGAAGTTTAATTTTAAATAGAGTTACAATTCCTTGCAATAGGTAGGTAAACACTAAATACAAAAAATTCTATAGTTAGTATCTACAAGCTGAAGATATTTCTGATCATTTTATTATAATAATTTTTATTTCATTTATTCAGAATTTGATCTTCCAAATTTATCTACCTGATTTAAAAAAGACAAGAACATTAAAATTTTAATTTATTTTCTGCAAAACTCTAAATAAACAAAAATTTAGCAGTTGTAAATTACACAAACAAATCAACTCTAAGCAATACAGTTGAAGAACTTCTTTTAATTCTTTTGAGAGTTAGTTAACTCTATTATAATACAACTATGGGATCTACAAAGTTTAATGATCTTGCAGAGGATGGTAAAAATTTCAATTGGGTATGAAGTTATTCGCTCCTCTTTTATTATTCGAAAGTCAGACAAAATTTAATAAACACTTTTTTGTTTCATTCCAAAGTATTATCTAAAACTGAAGACAATTCGACTCACTAATCTAACGATTTACACTCTGGAACAATTTAAAATCATTTTCAGTAAAGAGAGAAGAAAATGCAAATTTAAATACAAGTATATTTTTCGAACAAAATTCATAAATCCACTAAATACCGCTGTCTCATTTAAAGCCATTAAAACTCAGACAAGAATTTTTGATATACTTAAGTTAATAAAAAGTAAAATAGTTACCTCAAAAGTACAATTTTTTCATTCTCTATAACAATCTACTGGTGAAACTTATTGAAATGATGACAATGGAGTTAAATTGCAGCAATTCTAATCTCTTTAAAGCTTTTTCTTTTCCTTCACAATGAATCAGTGGCTCAATGTAGCATGCAATAACCTCGCGTTTTCTCATTAATTCCTTTCTACACTAGAATGAAGTGGAGACAATTTTTAGATAAATGCCAACGTAATAATTTACGTGCTTCATTTGAAACCGAAATGTTTCAATTATAACTATCTGCACCTATTAAAAGAACAACAGATTGAAGAAAAGATTATGAAGAAACATCAAAAAATTGACTCATAAATAACATTTCAATTTAATGGACAATAAATAGGAAAAAGTTGCACTTGTTAAATAAAGAGTGACATAATCACTTGGCATCAAACTTTACGGATATTACAATTTCGATCATGCTAATGCAAATTTGTCCTTCGAGATATTTCATAGCATGAATATCGAAGGAAAAGATTCTAACAAATTTTGAAATAAAGTATTCTAGATTTGCTACGTCATCGTATAAAAAGTTTTGGCGTTTTTCCAGGAATGTTGATTTTGCTCTTCGAGAAACGTACTTTTTTTTAGACATAGCATACGAACAGATCCTTATGGTATTCATAGTTTCATCAGTTGCACTAATCATAGAAACAATTTTTATACATTTTTACATTTATATATTTTTCTATCAAATTACTCTTTCATAATAAGGGTTACAAACCGAAGTAAAACCAAATGTCCTTCTATAATTACGTATAAAATAAATTTATGAAATGGCTTCCTATTTTATTTTTGTCTAGTATGTAGAAATTTGTAGGAGAATAAACCCCTGAAGGTGCCCTTATAAGGTAAATAAAAAACCGTGAAACTATAAAATGAAGGCGAAACGTAGGTGTTGTTTGCGATAATAAAAAAGCCTGATCATTGATTTTTGTAACAATACCTTCTAAGAGAGTGAAGACATGGAAATGAATCAATTTTTCCGTTCTTAGATACAATATATACAGAGAGATACATGGGCCTTCCAACGGTAGAAGATAATCGGGTGGGGTACAACAACACCGATCTGACAAGGAGGGTTGAATCGTTTAGAGGTAGAAAGTTTTATATAATTCATGGCAGTGCCGACGACAACGTTCACTACCAAAATACCGCCATGCTCCTGAAAGCTCTAGAAGAGGCTGATATATCATTTTCTGAACAGGTATGTGTTAAACAGCACGCAAAAGTATACTTTGTTTACTTTCTGTAGCGATGTGACCTTTAGTTTGACCGGCGCAAAGTAGAAAAGAACAGCACTAGGCCAGAAAAGGAAGGAGACAACTCTCGGCCAAACTCTTAACCGGTGAGGAGCGTATAATCCGTACAGTACTGCACGGAAAAATTGACCATTTTATCCACTACAATTGCATTGCTCAAATGTGCTGTTATTGGTACCATTTACTACTGAAAATATCAACGAGATGTTTATTTATATTTGAAGACATATTAAAGGCTTTAACGCTTGTTTTCGACTCGCACTACTATTCATGATTGAACAAAACTTTTGGCAGGTACTGTATGAAAAAGTATGTTTAATGAACAAGAGTCGAGAGTATAATGAGCTTTTTTCTCCCTACCTACGATTTTGCCAGCGCGCATCCAAGACATTGGAAGGGGCACATCGCTAGGGAAAGTAAATGAAGTATACCTTCTGCAGTGGCAGCTCGTGATGAAACGAAGCTAAACGTTACTAACCGATTTTTTAAATGTTAATTCAATCCAGTTATGACCTAAGTAAGACTAAAACCAAGAATGGTCTTATTTATTCGGTTTTGGTCTTGCTCAAATAATTCTAGTTTTGATCTTGGTCTTACTGACATACTCTTAGTTTTGGCCTTGGTAAGCACAAAGACCATAGGACGATAAACATAGTGAATCGGCTCCAGGTGATATCGAGATTATTTTTGGAGTGTATATTAAGATACATTAATCCTGAAAATTTTAGACCTTTATTCAATCCCTTCCACAATCCTTCACACAAGCAAACTTGTTTATAACTTTTCGGTGAATCAATCAATTTTGGATATTTATTCGTAGATCATTTTATTTTCAGACTTATGTGGACGACGCTCATTCAATTGCGAGCTATTCACCACATCTTTATCGTACCATCGACCGCTATTTTGCAAGAAGTTTCGGACTCGGCGACCCAACTTACGATTAGGGATAAATTAATTAGATGCAACGTTAATTTCTTTCGGTACATTAAATTCTAATAATGTTTTATAAATAGGTTTATATATAATTGGAGTTATGAGAGAATAAGTAATTAATTAATTATAAAAGTCTGTAAAGATCTTTGACATATCCAGAACAAAACAAGTCTTTGTAAATGCAGTTGAATTGGTTTAATAAATTAATTATTTATTACAGAAATGGAAACGTATTTTGATTTTAACATACTGTTTGTTGATAGACATATATCGTAGCTATAATAATAACGCTTTTATTTCAACCAAAACTATTCAGAACTAAACCTTTGTATTTTTTTGTATTAAATATAAAATGTATTCCTTTTAATATGCAGCAATGTGGGTTGTAATACATATACCCTCGACATGCCATTGTTTTAGTCCGTTCTAATTTACCCCGCCCGCATCAGCTCGAAAATTTTCTCTTTGTAAAAATAAAACCAAAAATGTCCTCGCATAGCAAAAGCAGGCAGCTACCGATCTGTACATAAATAAAAAAAAAAGAATACAGGCGAATGTACCTACCCGGTAATTCGCATATTGATTAAATGCAGTTCATTTCTTGTTTCATCGAATGCCAATTTTGCTTTATATCAAAAAATTCCGTGTACCTACAGGCACCTACTCTAATTATAATTCCATATACAGAATCTACTTTGAATCTGCATATTTTACAACTTCGTTACTTTTTGAAGTAAAACATCTAAAGGCGTGCATAGATTTCAGCACGAACACGTGCGAGACCGAGCACCGAACGTAGACGGACAAAATGCCTCATTATTTCTTATTTTTTTTTTGGTTCAGCGATTTCTAGTAGTCAGTTACAGTCAAAACATTGTTCTTAATATACTCAAAATTGTGAGAACGTTTTTTAAAAGGGTTTTAAGACTTAAAACTTGAGGATAGTTTTTGGTCCCATCATCATAAGGTCATCAGTCCTAAGACTGGTTGGACACGCACCTCTACTGTTTCCTATCCTTCACTAATCTTCGCATTTCCCTAAAGCGAGAGCAACTCGTATCCTTAATTATTTGCGAACAGTAATCTAATCTAGGTCTACCTCTACCCCTCCTAACATCCATTTCTGCCTCTAATATGTCTCTGACTAGACCTTCATGCCTGAGAAGGTGTCCTACTAACCTATCTCGTCTATTTCTTATTGACTTCCATAGAGTCCTCTGTTCTCTTACTCTTTCCAATATCTCTTCATTTCTAACCTTTTCTACCCACGATATCCTCATCATCCGCCTATAACACCACATTTCGAACGCTTCTAACCTTTTCTTTTCCGCCGCGCCCACTGTCCATGTTTCGCACCCGTACAGCGCCGTGCTCCAAACACACCTTTAACAACCTTTTTCAAATTTTTAAATTAACCGTTCGCGAGCATATTTAAGACATTTTCAAAAGCGTGACCGTCGAATATAGACTTGCTTAGCGCTATTATTCTTCGTAAATCGTTGAAAGTTATAATCCGTTTGTTTTGTGATCGCTCGGTTTGGCGAATGCTTTTGTTTATCTGTTTTCGGATGATGACGACGAGCAGGGAGAAAATATTGGCAAATGTTGGTTATTGTTTTTGACAGAAATGGGAACAAACTAATAACGGTAAAAAGCCTGTCTGCAATAGGGAAGCGAAAACAAGACAATGCACTTTGCTACTCACTTGACCGGGACGCCGCATGAATCCACGATATCCTTCTGCATTGATCCCATCGCAAATTCGGATCCAAGTCGCGTTGGTTGGATTGAAGATAACTGAAACAAACACAAATACAATTAAATTCAACAAATACCATACCACCTTATATATGATTAGTTTGATGGCAACAAAATTGCACTTTTCATATATCAACAGCATTATAAAATACGTAGAATTATAGGGAGGTCCATGGGATAATTCATGATACATAGTTCAACAAACAAATGCCAAAAACAATTTCTTTATAGTGCTAGTCTCAAAAATAATTAAATTTTATGAATATTTTGTTGATAGGTAGGATACACCTTGAACAAGTAATAAAAGTACCAAGAAGTCAAGGTCCTTCTGCACCTTGAGCAGAACAAGGAACACGCGCGGTGTTTGTTCTAAAGAACACTTCCGCCTTCTAAAAGAAACTACGTTTTGTTTGAAAGTAATTATATAACACAAGAAGGCAAAAATCATGGGTAACCAGCCACACACGCTAACACGCAATATGCTAATGTCGACGAAATTAGCTTTAGATAGCTACCTATGCACGAGTGGAAACCTTTAAAGATCAGTATCGTATTGGAAGGATTAATTTTGGTGATATATAAAAAATGCTCCGAGAAAAATAAAAACGAGTTTCGAACACTTCAAAGTAGAATCAGTGATCAGTTTGGTGGTTCTCAACCAGCTAAAGTTTGAAGCACCAGTAGAAACTGTATTTAATCGTAACAAAAGTTACAAAGCAACAATAACCATCTTTGTAGTGATGAAATGGATGGCACATTTAAAAACATTATCTCCAACAGAAGAAAGTAAAACAAAAATACTAATATGGCGGCGCTGTATGGGTGCGAAACATAGACGGTGTGCATTGCGAAAAAGAAAAGGTCAGAAGCGTTCGAAATGTGGTGTTACACGCGAATGATGAGGATATTATGGATAGAGAAGCTTAGAAATGGAGAAGTATTAGAGAGAATAAGAGAACAGATAGGTTAGTAGGACACCTTCTCAAGCATGAAGGTCTAGTCAGAGGCATATCAGAGGCAGAAACAGGAGTTAAGAGGAATATAGCTAGATCTAGATTAAATTACTATGCGAAGATTAGCTCAGGATAGGAAAGAGTGGAGGTGCGTGTCCAGCCAGTCTTAGGACTGATGATTATGATGAACAGAAGAAACATTCACGAAGTTGAGGTTATTTCACAAGCTAAGCTTGGAAAAACATCAATCATCACTCTGTAACCGAGAATGACGCCTTGGGTGTTAAACCGAGTATCACAATTTTAAGTTATAGCGTTCAAGTGAAACAATAATCACCCTGTAGTGGCTATCGTGAACAGCACAGTTAAAAAATGTCGATAATAAAAAAAATATGCAACGAAGACATTTAAAATTTCTTTTTTTTGAGGACAAAAAAAGCACATTCGTTCATGCCATCGATGCGTTAACTAATCTATTGTAGAAGCCGTTGCAGAAAAGTGATTTCGTAGAAGGGTTAATCGCGGCGTCGGTCGTCGGCGTCGCCGTCGACACGCGTCTAGTGATCACGAGTTGTGAAAACATCCGCAAGGAGCGCTGACGTGTTGGCGTCCCGGCGAATCTGCTGCAGTGGCCGATCGGTGCCCGTGTGCCATGCAACGTGTCGCGCTTACCACTGTCTTCTTCCCTCTGCGACAACACACCACCACCTCTTTCTCTTCCTCTCTTCCTTTTTCTTCTTCTTTTTCTACTCCTTTCAATTGTTTTTTTCAAAAACTTTCACTCCTGTCCACAATTTACATTACACACTTTCATTTATGAGTGCCGTGTCGGCTAATATACGTTATCAAAAATGCTACCGTTATGATTCACGTAAAAAACGCACTGTTATTTTCTTTTTTCCGCTTCGCCTTCTCAAAATACTGCCAGTCTTCTTCATTTCTACCGCTGCTGGTCCCGTTTAAAAAAAATTACTCTTTCGTCCGGACAAAGGTAAAATTTCATGCTACCTTTTCCTTGTCTTTCAATGTTTTTATCAAGTCTATAAAGGTATTGTGGAAACAAAGGTATTCAATTTAAAAAAAGATCAACATCAACGTGTACTTAGACTCATCGGAATGTAAATAACACTTAAAAGACAATTGTCAAGGAGGGGGTTGGTGAATGTTTTTTTAAGGTACATTTCAATCGCATAGTTACCTACATTTATCTCGTACGATAAGCAATTTTCCAAAATAACTTTCCTTCTTCTGGTTTTTCGTTTTTAGAACCAGATAAATACAGACTGAGTTACGTATTGTATTTTTGTATCAGAATTCTTTTCTCATTTACTTTTTTTTTTTCGTTTCATGGAAATTATTACCATTTAAATGATCTATATCTCTGTAATATTTTCCATTTATTTCATATTTGGTTTTGTTTTTTCGGCCCATCATGCAGTGAGTTATGGAAAGCAATTCATACATAAATATTATCAATCGTTTTATTCATTCCGCTTGTGGTTTTAACTGGATAATACAAATAATGGTATTATTTTAATGTTAATCTTTTCAATGAGTTACTAAATGATGCCAATCGGGTACATTCTACGTGGCTGCGAAGTGATAATTAAATATTATTGGAAAAGAGCCAATCTGTAAATAGGGTAAAGCGGAATTAATTAATTAACGTACTAAAACCCGAGCAGAGTACTATTACGTTAGGAACCACAGAAACGTGTTACACATTGCAATAAAAAATAAATTGACTTCTAGTACTGTTGTTAAAATTTACGTTGGTTAAATTTAATTAAATAAACAATTGAATTCCACGATAAAGAAATGGATTTGTAGTCTTTTCTATTACATCCGCCCTCATCGCTGGACGTAATAAAAAATAAAATTATGAAATCGAGAGACTTCGGCATCAACATAATTTTCATTTCGTCTCCACTTTGAACTGTTAATTATGGAAACAGAGTCAATATTTGGTCTGTAAAAGTTTAATGAAGGTATGTTTTTTTAATTGTAAATAATTTGTTTCAATTGATGCGTTTGGTATTACAGACGATGCATTATAAGAGAACATTTGATTAACAATAAATCAGTTTTGTGAATATATTTCTCACTGCTGTAGAATTAATTCTTCTCCTATAAAGTGTAAAAAGCTTCGTAATTGGAGGTGCAACGTCTGTTATGTTTCAATAATCCTAATCTTGGCTATGATTAGATAATTTAGAATGAATATTTTTCTTGCTAGATGAACATTGCTAAAATGGGTTCAGTTATAATGTGACATTGTTTTATTTTGCTCTATTTGGTAAATGTATATCTACTAAATATCTTTAGCAGTTTCTTGACTTGTTCATCTTGATACTATTTGATCCCTATCTCGTAAGCATCTTGAACTTAGTATTGTCTTAAGTATTTAATATAAAACAAGACAACATCGATTAATTCTTGACACTTAGTTAGGTCCTTTAATAGAATAACTGACTATGACCTATATATATATAATACATTTTGGGTAAAATCACTTAATCATTGTAGGGAGCTTAGTTGTAAGCTGATAAAAAATTGTTCAATTATATTCAAGAGAGATGGCACACATTTACGTCATATGATATCGTATATTTCAATTTTCCAAAGCCCATTTCACTCGCATGCATTTTCAATAAGCAAGGATCCGTCTTCGATGGTTCAATAAATTGAACTTGTACGCAAAGATATAGTGAACGAGTGACTCTCCTTATTCAGAATATTAAATGAGTCTCGCCTAGAAGTTTTCAACCCGTCTTATTATTATTGCAAACTAGTCTTTCGTTCGACCCTATCTGACTACATTTCCAGCATGCAGGAATATAATACTCTGCGCCATCGAGAAATTTTAATGGTTGGACCAACTAGTAGAAATCACTTTAAAATTTCTATAGCACTTATTTTTTTTTACTCTCTGGTAGGTAAATACTGAAGCCTTTGACCTTTTTCTCTCTGTACTTTCTCATATCATGATGGTTACTTAATTGAACTTACTAATACTTGCTAAAATATCACCATCACCATCTCATTATACTAAAACATCAAGAAAAAACTAAATATTTTTCGTAGTTTTCAAATAATATCTAGTCAGTTTAAAACGCAAAAAAAAATTTAATTTCATAGCTTGTGGCTACTGCAAAAAAAAATTATTATGCAAAGGAGAAATGTCTGATTATTACTAAGTTAAATAGTGGAGGTCGTTTTTTTGGTTTTTCATTTAAATAATTTTATGCAAAAGAAAGTGCCATTTTCCTTTACGGTTTAGACTGAGCCAAACTTTTCAAACTAAAACGTCTATTCAAATTACATCCGAGTCTAAGGCTTTAAAAGCAATATCCCGTAAAGTAGCTGAATGGCATTAGTTCCAGTGGGGCTTCTAAATGGACCAACTCTTTTCGTGCATTTTTATTGCAAAAAGAGAAAATTAAAATTCAACCAAAGAACTAAAAGCGTACGGTAGAACATGAATCGCTAGCCTTAATCATAAATTTTCTTTAACAAAGGTACAGATGCATATGCACTAATAGAATTTACCTGTATCAGAACCCAAATACGATTGATTTTTGAAAAGAAGTTATTGCAGAAAAACTGTTTAAAAATACACCACCACCGACAGTATGAACTAGGTCAAACAATACCTAATTAGAACAGTAATAAAATCTTAATTACATTTGTTAAAAAATATGATTATACTAACTTTAATCAGATTTGGTTAATGATGTATTCAATTCTTATACTTTAACTAACATAAAGAAAATTTTTCAAAATATAAAAATAAGGATGAAGCAGGCAGGATAGGCAAGTGATTGGAACAAATTTTTACAAATTTTCTTTTGCATAATGACAATTTTTTCACCTTTGGTTCGAAATTGAAATGTTTCAATTTATTTACTGATTTAGAGTTTTTTTACTCTACAACTGTTTCGGCTTTTTAGGCCTTTGTTAAAAGTACCTACTTGGTACTTGAAACATAAAAAGCAAGATGGTTTTACTTCTTTCATATTGTACCAATCAAAAAATCAGTGGAAATCTGGAAATTATTACAAAGATAATATTCAAACTTAATTTTAGAAATAAGTGTGTAAAACAATTTAGACAATATTGTTACCTTTAGATTTAAATTCGTCTATTTGTGAAAGATAATGATTAGTTAACAATTTTTTGATTTTCATGGAAATTACGGGGATAGTTTTTACAACAATATACAAAGATTTAAAGAAAGAAAACATTCTCCTTTTCCTGAAGGGACTGTTGAAAATGGAAATTGTTATTTATTTTCTATAGGTTATTTTGTGAACCAATTTCGGCGTAACTTTGGGACCGACAAATATAAAACTTGTTTGGCCTCAGGATGATCTCAACACGTAATATTTGTTGTCCTTTCAGGAATTCAAAAATTTATGAAAACTGTGGAAAATAAGAAAACACGACAGAAGTGTGACCTAGTAAAGTAAATTATCTAACTCATGAAAAAATTTCATAAACGACCGGGTCTTCTTATATACGTTAGTGGTATTTATTATAAACAATTACAATTAAAATTGTTGACAAATGATTTAGTTACTTTGTGAACAAAATTTCCCATATCTTGTATCTATGCGAAAAGAAGAAAGAAAAACCAACTAAAAATTACAATAATTCAATCTTGAATGGCTTGAAAGAAAACTGACAACCATTTTACAGCTACCTTAATACGAAATAAAAAAGCGATTCGCAGCTTTTTTAAATGTCATATACTATGTAAACGAAAATATTTTCCCCTGCTTTATTATTCGGAATGTAAACCATAAAGTTTTGAATAGATGCTGTTAAATTTTACAACAATAACTGCTTAGTTTATGGGTGTTAACAGTAGAGATGAAACGAGAGTGAACTTTACCATCAAGTAGTTATTCTAAATCTAAACTTTTTATGACCATTTTGGTTTAACCAAATCGCCTGTAAACTGCATGGAGTTACACGAAACAACCTGATAAAAGTGCGGTTAAAATGCAAAAACAACAATAATTTACCAATTGGCTAGCAGGGTTGTGAACAATACATTATGGATTGTTCAATTGTAAACACATTCATTAGTAAAAAAAATAATGTTTACTGGAAAAGATTTACTTTAGTGACAACAAATGTAATTTAAATATGATTTGCAATTATTGAGATTTGAATAGAAATAATAGTTTTATCAAAAGTAGATGCAGCCTATAATAGTCAAGGATACTGTAGCTTTTAAATAGATATTATTTGATTTTGCATTTGAAAGTCATTAAAATGATATTAATAAACATGGGAGAACATTTTTTTGAAGTGAAATTTCTTTATCAACGATAAGAACGAAATTTACTAGAGTATAAAACCGAAAAGTGTAACGTCACGTGTCGCAGCGTCACGCGCCACGTATGACCCCTGGTGGATATATCCAGAAGGAATCATTTTAATAGGCTTCAGAAGTTAACCTGTAAGTAGTACTCAATAATCCGAAAATTGACATTTAAACTGCAGTGTATGTGAATGCATATGCGTTTGTGTTTCTTTGTTTTAATTTGTAATTCGTAAAGCGTAAAAGCTTTTCACAAAACTAAACTAATATTCTACATTCGTCCGTTCGAAATAAATTTATATTTTTCTGGCGTTTAGTAATTAATAAATGCAATAGTTTAAGCCAATTTTTTTTTAATACCACTACGATGTACAATCTAAAGAAGTTTCATTTTTTACGCGTACATACTAATACATGCTCGTCCCTTTGTTGTTAACAACAAGGATCTCGCCGTACGAGTTTTATCTATATTAAATTTATTAATATCATATTTTCACTTGGGTTTGGAGGTTCTAAATTTCGTTTAACACCAATTAAGGATTGAACAGGTTGGGCACATGCATTAACTGTGAAAAAGAAAAAGTAAGCTTGCGTGAAAATGTCTGCTCACGCTAGGTCTGCACGCGATTTCGAATGTACACTTCATAATCGACCTATTAAAG